CTGTAATTGTAATATTGTATCTGGCAACCATGGCAACATCTATGTCAGTAAATGTTGGGGATTATCTTTCGCAGTAATCGGGGGATAAAATGCACGACATATGTGTGGTTTACCATGTTATTTTTCAAAAAAAAAAAAGTCACGCATTATCGAATTCAATCATTTGTGTGTAACATGGTAACAGTGCATCAAAGTTATCACTACTTCAGCATGACATGTAACGAGGCATGCCATCATTTCTGTCATATCTCCATAAAACGTGGCATATTCACTAATAGCTTGCTCGGCATCGACATTGATAATAACCCATACATTATTGATGTAAATTCAAACATTATGAATATCATAGACACGCGAAGAATATTCTCAAGTTAATAACGGAACATCATCAGTGACTATATTCATTGGCATGAGATGGCTACATGTACTATAACGGCGCCACATTAGAGAAACCCAACTATAGAAGGCATCTCTTTTTTAAAAAAAAATATTCAAACTTGTACGCAGACGATATATCATATTTAGTTCATCCAGTACTTTTTCATGGTTAATAATTTTGGTAAATGCTCTGGGTTAAGGTTAAATAGGAACAAAACAGAAGCACTTTTGATGTGTTATGGCCACAAACAGAAAGATAAAGAGGATATTAAAAGGTCTGTAGGGCTAAGGATCATGGGTATTTTTGTAACTTATAATGAGAAGCTATTCATTTCTGAGAATTTCAATTCAACATTGACAAAATTAAAATTGGAAAATGATTTTTTTTTATCAAAATTTGTGTATGTTTCGACAATGATTTCAACCCCTAAAACAATTATAAAGGCAATTAAAAAAATCATTTAATTTTATCTGGAAAGGCTGTGACCGAGTTAAAAGAACCTCATTAATTGATTAAAATAAGATCCTGGTTGGGTTAATTTTTTTTATATATAATTATTATTTATTTTAATTATTTGTTGACGTTAAAATTATTTTGCTGCAAGAATGGGTTTGTTTATGAAAGCCCGGTGTGGCAAATTTATTGTGAAAGCAAATATTAAAACGAATAATAATAAATGAAATTAATAGTAATAGAAATACATAATAATAATAATAATAGTAATAATAATAATAATAAAATATATATATAAAATAAAATTTGAAAAAAGTTAAGCCAACCAAGATCTTGTTTTAATCAGATTGAAAGAATGGAGGCCTGAACATGGTGGAAATTGAATGTTTTCTAAAGCACAAATAATGAAATGGGTTCTACGACTGTTTTCATCAGAACCAGCTGTTTGGAGTAACATTATAGAACCACTACTAAATATCAAAGGGGTAGACATGTATTATCTTGTAATTTTGATATGAAAAGTTTGGTAGATAATTTACCACCATTTTATGTTGACATTATGAAAGAATGGTCACATTTAATGCACCATCCCCCTAATTCTGTGTACGAAATTGGCAATCAAGCGTTGTGGAACAACCGCTTTATGAACATTGCAAACAAACTGTTTTTTTTTTAAATCTCTGGCAAATCGGGGCATTAGTCGCATTATTGACTTAATTGATAAGGATGGGAGTTTTCATAATTGGCAGTACTGGAATATGAAGCAAATTATTTTTAACTAAACACGTACCTGGTTTGAATTTGATCACAATAGTATTTATTGGGAAGGAGAGTACATTCATATTAAATCCTTAACAACTAAAATAATTTACAAAAAAATATGTAAATAGATAATTGAGCCACCCTCGATAGTGCAAACATTTAGGAACTCTTATGATATCTCAGCAGAACATATTCCCGTTATCTTTAAATTACCATTCATAACTACTATATCAAATTCTCTGAGAGCATTTCAGTACCAAATTATTCACAATTACATTGTTACAAACAGTAAATTGTATAAATAGAAATCAGTTACATCATCTTCATGCTCTTTTTGTCATGTCAATGAAGAAACCTTACATTACTTGTTTGTAAGTTGTCATTTTGTGCAAGAATTGTGGGAATTGGTGCAAGAACAGTTTGAAGTAATTAGACATACAAGCTGTAACTGCAAAATTATTATATTTGGAATATACAACTCACCAGAAAACAAAATATTAAACTATATCATAATTTTATTCAAATGGTTTATTTATCTATGTAGAACAAAAAAACAAAATGTTGTCTTATGCATTTAAGATGTTTGTTCTTTCCAATAGACAAGTTGAATATGAAATTGCAAAAAGAAATAATAAGGTCAACTTACATTTTGAAAAATGAAAGAAAGCTGAAAACTGGTTAGGTAATTAAATACTGTATTTGTACACCAGGTCATTATTTGTTTTTGTATTTCCTTTTGTAAGTTTTTTTTGTATGTAATTACTTAATTCGTATAATAAAAAAAAAACATTAAAAAAAATAATAATAATGGCGAAAGATTTTGTATCATACATTGTGCTCACACGGTAGGTTCTCAGTATATTCATGTTCATGGACGTTGAACACCATCATTTACAGAACCACACGCTTCGCGCAGAATATGCAGGAACGTAATAACACATTCACAATAAAGCTCGGATCTGTACCTGAATGATCTCCCAAGTCGGGAAATGGTTTTATAACCATTACTACTATTTTCGTTGATAATGTTTGACGAGAGAAAGTCACGACTCATTAAGTAACGGCAAAATAGATCCTAAAACCATGTATGTGTATGTAAGTAAGGTGTAAAGGTGTGAGGTGAATGTATAGTAGGGTGTGTAATTTCCGATTAGAATATAATGTCTAATACAAACACGAGGGGTCAAATGCAATTGATATGTTAAATCTTTACAGCGGGATCAAAGCATATGTACTAATATTTGTTTTATCACTGTCAATAGATAAGTAATGAGGTAACTATAACAGATTCTACTGCCCAGGTTACCACTCCTAATTAGTATAAACCAGGCTACTCTTAAAACAAATAAAGATAAAGTGCACATTCTTGTGACCAATTAGGTGAAAATAAATGCAAAGTGACTCTGAAAAGATATATCTTTTTTAAAAGAATCGCATGCACCCTTAAATGATGAGAAAAATGCATGATGTACACAATGTATAGATCGAATTTAACATTGTACATAGCTTTTACATAATATCAATGTAATGCATGGAGTGATAATGCTAGCAGACTGGGCAGGATTTGGTTATGTTAAGAGGGCACGCTTTAAACATCAGTTTATAGTATCAAAGATGCAATAAGAACAACTTCGAATTCTCCGAAGATTGATATTTCGTTAAAAACAAAATTGTTCTACTCTTGACCATTTTTGAATAACACTAAATTTATAATTTGTTCTGTAATATTATTGGGACGAATGCTTAGTTTAAAATTGATTGTTTGAAACTTTGCATCGTATATATAGTGATTCTATACCATGACTGTGTGCGCATGCGTGAACATGGCGACGCGGTGACAAACAAAACGCACGCACAAGCAATGCGATACTAGTATTAAGACGTGTTAAAAAACGCTTTTTTAAAAAAAAAAAATCTATCGATACAATCAAAGATAATATGCCTTTGTCTGGAGTACATGTGATTAAGCGTATTTAGAAAATATCAATGACTTGTTGAAATGTACAACATATTAGATTAATAGATATGTTAAGTGATAAAAGATGCTATTTGGACGAAAAAATTGAATTTTTTAGATTTCTAGTTTGATATTTTATATTGATAAATACATTATATTTTAGAGCTTATAAACGATAATTGGTAGTGAATATAAGGCCTCGCTGAGGAAAATTAAGCATATTTTGAGGTAGATAATAACCGAGCGTATATTATAATAGACTCACTCAAGAAATACATATCAAGTTGCTATGTGTAACTAACTGGCGGTAAAGTAAAACATACAATGTTTTAGTTGTGATTTACGTTCAAAAACGAAACAGTGGCAACAACACGTGTATATTCGAACGTTATGCAGCAATGAATGCGCTGTTTACTCACAGGAGGTTTTCTCGCAAAATGCGCGATTTTGGCAACAATAATTCGTAATAGTGCTTGTACTAGGTTGATCATATACCCGCAACCACGATTATACTATGAACAGCGGTCACAGTCGTTTAATCTCGTTTCAGTTAGATATTGATCACATGTCTTCTAGTGCCAGATATAAGACCTTGCTTCAGCCAATCAGAGGGTTAGATTCAGACTAACCATACACAAATCGCTATACCAAACACACGCAATCCGTAATAACCAATTCTGAGTCGTAATATTTGTTCGTAACATAAACACTTATTATCCGTGCTCCATAGCTAAGTGAATGCAAAACTAAGCAGGGACTCCGGTATTGGGGCGATATCACTAGGCTTTCCTTCTTTCGCCTATCCCACAAATCTTTTTCTTTCCCAACCTTTGTTTTCCTCAGAACTTTTCATACATCACTCGTATATAAGATTGTCTGTGACGTCATAGTTTGGTTATTATCTGATGCACGTAATGTAGACCCCGTCACATATACATATATAAATACCGGATATAGATATTTATCGGAATATGACATGATACATTGGTTGAAATTGACATTTAGGCAATGTACAACCGCATAAATAGAATGTTATATATCCTGTCAGTTTTGAAAATTCGTGCGAGGTGGACAGTACAAGCAAATTCAGTAAAACACACAAGTCACATAATTAATTATAATAATTTGTGTGTAGGTATGAAAATAAATTGTACGTATTTGTATCATTAATTAACTTGTGATCGCACCAATGGGACGGGGGTATGCAGATAATATGTTAAACTACTAACACCAGCTGTACAGTGGTATCACTCCAGTCAGATTAATTGTAGTATTAATGACCATGCATAACAATTGTTAATTAAAATATCCTATAATATATCATCAATATTGGTGATGTATTATTTACATAATAATATTTGCACACAGACTGAATTATCATCCCGATTTGCAGCCACCTTTTTTGAGGTATGCGTATTGGTGTTGGTATATGTAATACACGTATCTTACCATGTCAATCATCTGAATGGGTGTAAGCCGGTGCGTAACTACGACTGGTGTGCTCTCTTTCTTAACTGGACGAATATATTTGGGGTACTTGTCAAGCAGATCACGCACCAGTGCCGCTCCCTCGTCTGACAAATACACTTCACCTAGGAACGATAAAATAAACGTTACATTGCTTGGCAACATCGCACTACCATACTCAGCGGAATGGGATAATCACTACCCAATGCATCATCGATTTGCTAGGTAAACAGTTTGACAGACAGAAAGGAAAACATAATGAAACTGCGCTAAAAACATCTCTAATTTGTTTTAGAGTGTTGATATCTCTAATTTGTTTTCGAGTGTTGATATTAGTTGGTAAAACGACGTGGGTTAATGCGTTCGCATCTCCATTACTGTATTTGTTCTTTTAGTGGGTTGTAAGACCGTAACAAGCTTCGTAATGTTCATAACTGGTGAAAGTAGCTTAACATTAGACTTCTCAAAATACATGTACATGCAATATATATGTTCCCAATGCTGTTCTGGGGTAACTTTATTTGTAAATCGAGACATAACAAGCATTGGCGTGTTGGCATCACGGGATCTCAGTCACGTGACTAAATCCTACAGCTTGGGCCATATTATGACAAGACGCACACCCCAATTTACACATCTCGTTACACCCCCAAAACATGATGAAACTTCAAATTCAAATCCATCAATTAGGGCAGCATTTATAGTGGGTCCAAGGTTCGCCGCACTCTCATTAATGTATTATTAAAGATACTGAAATAACCGCAGACGGCTGTCATTTCATGCGCGGTACGAGGTACGGTTTCACCCTGCAAAAAAAGCCCCGTGAAATGAATTTGACATGCACTCAGCCAATATAAAGTTGGTGATTTGAGATATTGTAAAAAGTACACCCGTTAAATTACGAGCATGTCACGTTTGCCATAAAGAATCATTTATTATTTAATACAAACAATTAATCTAAGCTACAAAGACATGTAGCTGCAGGCTATTGAATCGCAAAATTGATTCCAATTGACGTGACTACGTGTACCATATTTTATACGGTCAACACACATGATGTACAAACTGCCATAATTACTTATTACTGCACTGACAAGATATCTTGGTTTCTTTGTTGACGATGTCGTTCATCTTTTTTAATTATAATCTATTGTGTCCCCAACTACATCTGCTTTCCACTAAAGTTACATTCAGACATACGCTTCGTTAAGTATGTAATATCCGGTTTAATAATGTGATTTGTGTTGTGAGTAGGCAGTCTTTGCTTAAATTGCGCCTAAGGGAACTAAGGACATTTGGTGTTAGTGGGAATGTATTGAGACATCGCATATTTTAAACAGAACGTATTTATTGTTAGTTATTCGATTTTACTTGTAGCCATAGCGATTCACTAAAATTGAGCTTATGCAATTTGTGATGAAAATATTGTATACTAACATGCCACTGGAATTTAAATTTTAAGTTTTGTGTCCACGGTGTTTGTACTAGCACTTAGCATCGGTCTACTTGCACCTAACATCGCGAACCACTGCTATATTTGGACTCCGAAATTAACCATAATATCGTCCTATAATCTCATCAGAATGCGAGGAAAAAACTAAAACTAAATACAGTCAAAATAAATAAACACATAAATTACTAATGTTTGTGTATCAAGGAAAAGTTAAAGATTTGTTCCATATTCATTTAAATGTGTACAACTGACAACCCGTAAAACATGACATTATCATAGAGGAGTGAATGGCTTTTGTACATGTTTCAAATGTCTTGTTGTTGTACGGGAACAAAAAAATATCGTGTTTATTGAAATCCACTTTGACACATGTTCTTCTAAAAAATCTGTGATACCATATGCATGTGTTTTATGGGAATGGTTCCTCTTAACAAAGCGTACATAAACCCATGTGAAACCCCTTTTTCGTAATGAATTGATCTAACATTGTACTAATTCAGTTCGTTTTATTCCCATAGGACACGATGTCAATGTATTGCCATCTTCAGGGATAAAGGGATTTTAGCTCCAGGGAAAGGCCAAACAATGAGACAGACGTAACTCACAAATTTACTCGATGATCGCATCAAATTTGCTTATTTTAGATGGCATTTATGTCGCAGTGACGTGCGTCTGTTTTTTATTGGTGAATATGTTACAGTTAATCCTGTAAGCAGTGGATTGCTGTTGGCTTCTCCATATTTCCTGTAATGAAGCTACGATGCATAAACTGTGAACAATATTGCTCATGTTGTGAACATGATCGTCAAAACATTAGTCACGTAAGATAACCTTCGAAAAAAAATAATGCAGCAATTTCAGTATTCGTGTATTGATATGCAAATTAATGTATATCTTTATTATAATGATGTCAACAAAATGATCAATCAAAATAAGTACTACTCAGCACGCACACAACAGCTCTCTCAGATTTACGTAATCAAAAGATTTCCCTATCTGAATGTGAAAACCAGAAATATTTCTGGTTAAAATGCAAAACTATAAATCTAACTATAAGAAAAAGCAAGTTATCTAAAATTGCTGTAACTTTTATGTTTCCTATATGTTTTATTCTATATTTTTTATTAAACAAATGTGGTATCCCTTCAACTTTCTTCACAGTACTCATTTTAATCGTCAATGAAGGTTTTATTTACTTAGCAGTCACATGTCCACATGAAGATTGTTTCTAACGTAACATTGCAATTTACTTAGTTTAAGTTAAAACTTTCACGAAATATATAGTTTTTTTGTTTTAAAACAATTCTATGAAAATAATTAGTGTGAATATTACTTCCTGAAACCTCTACTACATTCTTCTCCAGCTGTTGGCAGAGAAGAGAATACATACAACGTGATTATCAACAAACCAATGGGAATCACCATACAACTGTTGACATCCTGTCTGATCAACAGTTTGCCCAAGAAAACAAAATCCTAGATTGTAATAGACCATTTTCCGGTCACTGCGAGATCCCACGTTATGTGTGAAATCGAACGTAATAACTGGATAATCAAAGCGTCGTAGTGGCGTCAAAACATCTCATAAGATTCGACAAACATTTATTGATTGTCAACGTTGATGGAGTAACGCTATATTCTCCTCTGAAAGATCGGAATTTCAAACTTGTGCTATAAAGACTATGTAAACCATTGTGCCATTGCAGCGATATTTGATGTACTGACGGTTTTATGACACTCTAATATTGGAATTTCATATCGCTATATTTTACCACCCATTTTTGTATGAAACGTCCTTTTTTGTTCCCAGTGTAATGCAATACCTGTAATCGCATGTAATGTGCAATGTACATGCGTACATTGGTGATGTTGGTTTTATATATCTAGATATTTTTGATGTAAAATAAAGCATGGCTTCCGCGCATTGCTTTGCATTCAGACACTATTTCGCAGTTCAGGACATACATTTTACATGTGATAGTATGTTGCTAAGCATGCTGGTCTACGTCATATTTATTGTCTTATGCCGCACTAAGACATGCAGCAAAGCACAGACACACACAGTGTGCCAGACAGTAAACGTATAAAAAAACACGAACGCAATGCACATAATATCACAACAACAGCACAGCAATACTGAACACTCGGCACACTCCTCTACGGCATTACGTCATCACATCTCGTATCCAGTTAATATGCAATCAGTAATCAACATGCTTAGCATGTCCGGGAATCCGCAATGTATGCAAATTAATGTCACGGTCGAATAGCTGCCAACGAACCAGCTTATACGTTACTATGGAGAAACAATATTCAAATCATGAGAGGACTATGATAATCCTTACACCGTCGATAACATTACGGTATGTAGATCCCTTCACACAGAAACACGTTAATGTACTCTATAATAAATGTTATAAATCAAAATAGACACACAATTACAATACCAGAAGCAAAAACGATATTACTTCTCATAAAAACTAAACATGAGTTCTGTTATTATCAGATCAATTTGTTCATGACTATTGTCACTGTTTACTTATTTTCATTTTCATGTGTTTTCGTATTCTGAATAATTCAGGGAAACAGTTATTGGGTTATCAGAAATCGTATTCCTTAACACGCATTAGTTTTCAGATCACGGGTATAAACTTATAGGATTACATCAGCTCAATATGCAAATTAGGTGTGGTCTATTTCACAATTTGGTGCATTGCTGAGATATTGAAATGCTTACAACTGTGAGTATCATCGCATTAGTAGTAAAAACTAACAACTCATTTTTTTTAAATATCTTGCATAAAGCATTTTCGATTGCAATGTTTTTTCTACTTTCCTATCCCTACTTTATTATCTTTATTAGATTTTTACCCAAGAATTCGTAATCAGCAAACGAAGTACTTTTTCTGCAAATAACTTGTTTTATTTTCAAAATAATGTTTCATTCGTTATTACACGATACTTTACTGGGATCAGTTACTTGACATTCTAGACCTCGATCAGCGAAATGATTACTGGTGATATGAGTTTGTAACATCATAAGCTAAACCTACTTGGTTATATGCACCCAGGCCACATACTGCGATATCACTACACCCCCACCACACTGGGAGTGTGTTTGTTAAATGGGGCTTACATAACGACCCTCTCCCCCTTCACCCCCGTAAAAGCTTAGAGTCACGACATATTACTACCCGAACCACATTGACAGCTAACACAACCGCACAGTACATGTTATATTCAGTATGCTTATGCTTGATTGCAATTAACTCCCATGTTTCCTCTCGAGATTAACTTTCTACAAGTCTCATTACTTACTTGGCCACTATGCATTGTAGAAAAGCAAGATGTTCATCTATTTCTGAAATGGCTCAAATCGATTGATAAAATAAAGACGCAATAGTAGTAAATTAGTTTCGTTGTTAATTCATACTCGTCCCCATCGTAAACTGATTACAGTGGCTACCCTGGGATACAGGGTAGGTAGTTTGGGGGATCTCGTACTGTAGATGGATTATTTTAAACAGTAATTCCTCTGAAAGGAACTTTCCGCGAATGTTTAGTTTTAAGTAATTGATCATCACTAGAATGATTTTTTCGTGTATAAGATTTACCCAGTGATGTAAATTGCGTACTGATAATAATTAAATTACCTTTTGATTTGAGGTGCTAATGCTGTATACAAGTATTACAGTTAACAAATTATCATTCTTTTATGTTAATTACTTGATATCTGATGTCAGAAAATAACCATCGATGTTGATATTTTATATTATTTATCAAGGTATATTTTGATGTCTTCAGACATTATTTAAACCAAGTCTTCATGATTTCAGATTTCTATTTTACGCAACTTACTTATTTTGGAAAATCAACATCCTCCATTTAAAGCAATATCTACTAACTAATAAATGATGGCTGCCGAAGTATCGTTGAGGGCGTGAGACTTGTCGTCTATTCAAACAGTGTTCCATCTATTACATGATTGTGTCTGATTGGCTACCCAGGCCTTACACCAAAATGTCAGACGAATCAGAGAGCAGCTTGTTTGTTTTTCGACGTACATATGCCTCACCTCAACGGGATTCAGCCCCTGTAGTATTTGGAACAATGAGCGTTCTGAATGGAAACAGTGGAACACTAACAAGTGGAGTAAAAATAAGTCACGTGACTGATTTGCTCTCAATGAGATCGCGACGGCCATTTGCGTTCATACTGATTAATAATAAATCCGACAAAATACGATGACTTAATATACACACACTGAACAAAATTAAACTATATTAAAACTTTATTGATGACAATTGTGTCATCTCAGCAATTAGCCTCATGACCAATATCCCCACATTACGGAAGATTAATTTCCGTATTCGTTGGCTACGGAAGCATTGACATACACTGTTGTCAGGAAAAAAAACGTATCAGGAATTTCGTCTATACGTAGCACGGATGCGACTTGTCTGGGCTTTAAAGTAAATAATTTAAAACTCAATCGGGGTTGAGTTCGACTAACTTTTGTTTTGTTGTACGGTATATAATATGTGATAGTAACAGGTAAAATAAAATGACCATATCCCCATATCAAAATGGCCGACCGTTATTGACAGTATGTTCATGGTTGCCGAATATCACAGCCGAATTTCAAACCTGCTGTATGCCATGTAAACTGGCAAACAAATATGTACAAATCTTTAAAGCTACAGTCACACTTCGCAGATCTGTGAGGTATCATTTTAGATATACACAGGCTATATTATGTATTTAAACTGAATGTTTTCATCTTGTACTGGGAGGGAACTTTCACACTACAATATAGTCTTAGAAAGAACAATGTCAATTTCTAGACATTTAAGAACAAGCAACTATTATAAGAAAAAAACAAATAACCCTCAGAGCTCATTAAAAAAAACGTTACTGGTATGACATAA